GTAAGAATTAAACAGTTTGCTGTTCAACGTACAAAAGTGTTCGATTTTACAGTTCAAACGTTAGTGTGTGTATACGAGTATCATGTTAAATATTCTTAAGTTGTACGAAGTTGCGTACCTTGGACTGTTAATTGTTGAAAGTTTTGTTTGTTACTATTACTAATATGTAGTGAATATATATTTCACTTTCTCAAGTAAAGTAAATGAATTTTTTGAGAAAGAGAGATTAAGTATGTCAAAAGTTTGTTGAGTCAGAGGTTAATTCGCGCGGAAAAGTCAAAGTTTAAACTGGCGTGGAATTGGTTGGCATCTCTCTGAATGTGGAATTCTGACTGGTAAGTTGGTTCGAATTTCTTTCTTTTATAGGTTCTGGAAAGGAAAAATGGGCTCAAACACATTTGAGCGCCAAAGGCATTTTTCACGTGCATACTTAGTTTTTTAAGGCTGTTAGCCAATGAGAAATTGAGTTTGTCAGAATTAGTGTAAGAATGGCTTGTTCTGCAAAGGGGTGAAAAGGTAACATGTATTATTCCACAGATCCATATCTTTTAATCCAATCTTACATAAGCCATTATCAAAGATGTTGTTGCGGATGTGTGATGATTTTGTGTTGGAAAGGAATAGAAGGTTTGAATTATCAGAAGGCTTAAAATTGTGTGTGTTCAATAATCTTCCATCCACAACAATTAATACAAGACAGAGAATAATTATTCAAAAACATCTTGTTTCAAAACGTGACAATTGAATTTATTAATATTTGATATACATGCATGAATACTGACTGAAAGGTTAGACGGAGTTGTGTCTCTTAGATTAGGTAATATTTGTACCTAAGTTCATAAAGTGAAAGTAATTATTAAACTGTAGCTTAGAAGAATAAAGTTTCTTTAGCATGTTTGGAATTGTGCATTGTACAAGTTGGTAAAAGTTCAGAAGGGATTTCAGAGTTCTTACTTGCGTGAATGTTGGTAATGGTCTTTAACGTCTGACTGCGTTAGTTAAGACGGGAGTTCTTGAAGATTACATCTTGGTACTTGGTAGCAAGGAATGAGACGCGAGAGAGAGAGAATAACTCGTATTTTTGTTTTTATAATTTTGTTGTACCACGTAACAGGCTCGAATGGGGAACGCGGGAAAACAAATTTGTCGCGTGCAGGCGGTTTGATTGGTCGGAAGTGACCAATCAGCAAGCTAGATTGAAGGTGATTAACCAATGAATGCTTGTTATATATTTGTAAGATGGTGATGGTGAAAATTACAACAGGAAGAGTGCATTTTCTAGCAGGGGTTAACTGGCTTGTTGTGGAAGATTCCACAATGTCAATTACTGTACAATATATTAAGCAATATACGGACAAAACAGTGATGATAGTCTGTGATTGTTTACATGGATGATTTCCAAGCAACAATAAACATGTGCATATAAGACGCTAGAAGCGAAAATCGCACCGCAGCTCATGACGTCACATATGACCACGCGAGAGTGAATTCGAGAAATATTAATATGGGAAGCCGTTGGTATAAACCAATGGCTTCTATTACCAATTATAGACATTTAAGGATATTTGTAGAGATTCCATAGTTGATTTTGTTTAGGTTAGGTTTCAACTGTTTGATGTTTATGGCTTCAAGGACTTTTAGTTTTTGTCTATTGTTTTCATGTTTAAGTATAATTGTGTTTTCGACAAGGATTTTACGGAATTATGTGTGCGGCCAGGCATATTGTTTTAAATGCCTAAAAATGTTAGAGTTTTCATTCAAATGTAGTGCCAAGCGTCGTGAAAGCGAGTTTGTGGTCTGACCAACATAAATACTATTTAATTCGTTGGAAATACAATCTCCCAAAGGGCACTTGAATTTATAAACTATAAATTGTGTTGTTCCTGGAAAGTTTGTTGTAATCAAAATTGGTAAATGAAATTTCGGTTGATATCAAAAGTTAAATTTTGTATTTAAAGATAACTTTTAACTTTTGAGTAAATTGTGCATTAAGAAACTTTGGGCTGTAAGATAGTTGACTCGAAGTAAGTTTGCGTTAGGTTACGTTCAAAGTTGCTTTTTGAATAAAATGTTTGTTTGCTTTTTTAATAAAATATTTGTTTGGCATATAGGGGGTCAGCCAATTTGTAGTGGTTATAAATAGAAATAAAAACTGACCCTCTACAATTTTTACAATATCAAATGTAACAAAGACAACAACAAGAGAAATAATCAAGTAGAAGAAATTATGAATTTGTTCAACAATAAATATTTTTTATAAACACAACAAATACATGATATATAGTGCAAAAGTTGATAAACACAATAGAGTTCTTTGGTGTGTGTTACTGAAAGAATTTGAGTTACTGTACTGTATGTGTGAAAATGATAAGGTTTAGTTAGCTATATTTGTTTTTATAGGAAAATTAAACAGATGTTTTTTTGTGTATTAAATAGAAAAAAAAGTATTGTTCTTGACTCACTGATTGTTATAGAGTTATCGCTCATTAACCAGAGATTCTTCTTGTGGAATGGAATATTTTGTGGGAGTGAGCGCTAAGCCGGGAGATGGTTGACAAAGTTTGTTGTTGTATTGAAGATAAAGTTCGTCTCCTTTGCTGTGTTGAGTTCCAATGAATTCAAGTGAATTGGTTTCAATATTTTAAGTGCCCACTGACCAAGTCGCGTCGAAGTTTCGTTTTTATTAGTTCTCTCGGTCACGTGGGGAAGCTCGTAATCATGTTTACATTTTATGGCGTTAACTAGAGGTCAAAATTTGGGTCGGTACCTTCGGACGTAGTTGACGACACCTAATTAATGTTTTACAACCAATCAAAATACATCAGTTGTTATATATGGTTGGGAGCCTCTACGTGTTTAACTTGCACAAAATTTAAGATTTAAAAAAAAATGTAGGAATCTGATTCTACAATAACCCAAGAGATTGTGAAAGTTTTTGAGAGAGAATTTTCTCAATATGTAATATACGTTTTAAATCTACTAGGCCAATGAACATGTCTGCTTGGTGGTAACTTCCGCGGGTGATACTGAAGGTGCAAGCTGCGCTGGCTGGGTCGAAGATGTTAGCTCAGGGTCAGGAAGCGATTTATGAGATAAATCGATGTAAGCCGGTTTCAACCGGTCGACTGACACTGTGTTAGGCTTTCCGTGCAAAAGTAAAGTAAAATGCTTGGACATTCTATTAATTACTTTATGTGGACCAGAATACGTGGGGGTTAAGAGTCTTCTAACTGCATCTTTTCGCAGGAAGACGTAATCACAACTGTCTAAATTTTTCGGCATAAAGAACCCCCTTGTTTGGGAACGCGTTGGAGTAAAAGCATTTTTTGTTTAAAATCCTGGACGAAATAGGTAGTCGGTCTGGAAGGAGTATGCTTTTCCACGAACTGTCCAGGGAGTGTTAGCGTACTCCCAAAAACAAGTTCTGCTGTAGTGCATCCTAAGTCCTCTTTGACTACATTTCTTAATGACAGTAAAATCAGTGGTAGGTTTTCCAGCCAAGTCCTGGAGTCATCACTTGCTGCTAGTGCCGCCTTAAGTTGCCTATGAAATCGTTCCACAAGGCCGTTTGCACATGGATGGTAGGCGGTTGTAGAAATGTGCTTTACGCCTAACAAGTTTATAAATTCATTGAAAAGGACTGACTGGAACTGGGAACCTCTATCAGTGGTTATTATTGAAGGACAACCAAAGATAGAGATCCACTCTCTAAGAATGCACCTGGAAATCGTTTCCGCTGAAATACTTTTTAAAGGAACGGCTACAGGCCAACGAGTGAAACGATCGATTATTGTTAATAAGTATTGGTACCCATCAATGTCGGGCAAAGGGCCCACTAAGTCAACGTGAATGTGGGTGAACCTACCATCAGGCTTAGAGAATGTACCAGGCGGAGTCTTGGTATGCCGTTGTATTTTAGTTTGCTGGCATTTTAAACAAGTCTGTGTCCAGTGTTTTATGTCACTGAACATTTTTGGCCAAACGAAACGATCACTAATCAACTTAGTAGTCGCTCTTCGACCAGGGTGCGACAGAGAATGGAAATGTTCGAATACTTTTTTTCGCAAAGAAGGTGGTACATAGGGCCTATAGTATCCTGTGCTTACATCACAATAGACAGTAGTGTTACCAAATGGCACAGGGTGTTGCTTTAACTGTAGTGACGTTTTTTTCTTTTACTGATTCCAAAGTAGAGTCAGTCTTTTGTTCTTCCGCTAAGGAGTCGAAATTCAAGGGCTGTGTGTCGATTGACTGTATCGTTGATCGCGATAGGGTATCAGCTACTATATTGTCAGCCCCTTTTAAATAGCGGATATCCGACGTATATTGGGAAATATAATCCAATTGTCGGATATCCCTTGGGGTATATTTGTCCGACTTGGCGTGCAGAGCATAAATTAATGGTTTATGATCTGTATAGACCACAAAATTCCGTCCTTCCAAAAGATGACGGAAATGGCGGATTGCCAAGTATATTGCCAGTAATTCCCTTGAAAATGCGCTGTACTTTTTTCTGAGATGAGTTTAGCTTGACTGAAAAAGAACGAAATAGGTTTTTAGCATCTCCTGTTCCTGGTGAAGCACAGCCCCTATGGAGTCGCCTGATGCGTCTGTTGTCAGTGTGATCATTGAGCCATCATCGGTTATATATGATAACTTCGTAAAGTTGGCAAGGGCGTCTTTGGCTCTGTGAAAAGCAGTCATTGATTCGCCTTCCAAGGTAATCTTTGAGTTCTTCTGATGCTGTTGTTGCAGTAAATCTGTGAGGGAAATCAGAATCTGGGAACAACCAGGAATGAACCTCCGGTAGTAATTAATGAGGCCTAAGAATCGGCGTAACTGCCGGAGTGAAGTTGGTTGTGAGAAATTTGAAATAGATTCTATTTTCTCAGGTAAGGGCGTTATTCCCTTTTCATCAATGACGTGTCCCAAAAATTTAAATGAGGGAACAGCAAAAATACATTTCTCTGCGTTAATCTTAAGGCCAAAATGCTGCAGACGCTGGAAAACTTGTTCAACGTGATGACGATGTTCGGTCTTGTTTCTACTGGCGATCAGGACGTCATCAATATAGGCAAAGGTGAAAGGTAAACCTCTCAGCACTTCGTCTATAAGCCGTTGGAAAGATTGTGCGGCGTTCCTTAAACAAAATGGCATTCTCACAAATTCGTATAAGCCAAAAGGAGTAGTTATTGCTGTTTTATGGATGTCTTCCTTGGCCACTGGTATCTGGTGGAATGCTTTCACCAGATCAAGTCTGGTGAAGACTGTGGCGCCCTGCAAACCCACTACGAAATCGTGCAAGTGCGGGATGGGGTATTTATTCGGAATTGTAGTAGCATTCAGCTTCCGGAAGTCGCCACAAGGTCTCCAAGCTCCTGAGTCCGGTTTTGGAACCATATGAAAAGGAGATGAGTAAGGACTCGAAGAAGGTCTAATCATACCAAGGTCCAGCATGTGCTGAAACTCGGCTTTCGCCAGTTTATATTTATCAGGCCCCAATCGCCGTGGAGATGAATGCGTGGGTGGGCCCGTAGTATGAATGTGGTGCTCAGCATTGTGACGAACGGTTTCTGTATACCGGAATGGTGTTGTAATTTGAGAATATTTTTGTAACAGATCCTGCATTCCGTTGGCTTCAGGTAGAGTTGCGCTGATACATGTGCTCGTATAGATAGATGTAATTCATTTCCTTGTAATGTTGGTCGTTTTATCCTCCAAAGAAAGGGAAGACATATTAACGGACAAGTTAAAGTGGGCGAGGAAATCCGCTCCTAGGATTGGGGTTCGAACTTGGGCTATCGTGAATACCCACGGAAAAGATCGCCTAAATCCCAGATTTAGGGTTAACGAGGTTTCACCATATGTTTGGATTGAAGATCCATTCGCCGCTTGTAACGTATAATCTATCTTTCTAGTCAACATATTAGGCTTGGCTGGTATTACACTAATTTGTGCCCCAGTGTCCACTAAAAACAAGTAGCCGGAGTTCTCATCTCGGATGTAAAAGAGACGACTTTTTGGCATCCCTCCGGCAGCAAACGTCTCTACTTGTTGCCGGGATAGTCGTTTCCCGACTGCTGTGTATTGTTATCCTTAGCTGCGTTTATGTCGAAGTTACACGGTTTCGTACAATGCCGCGCTTGTTGTCCGTATTTAAAATGATACCAACAGGTATTAAATATAGGCCTGCCTCTGGATGTGGAACGTGATCTTCGCCTAGTATGATGTGATGGACGTGGTCGACTAGTGAAATTGTTGGGTGTGCGATTTTGCTGATGCATAGCGGTTTGTAGAGCTTGTAACTGTGAGGTAAGCTCTGCTATACAATCTTTAATTTTCGATAACTCTTGTGAGGCACGGACTGAAGAGACAATAGGTTGTAACGGTGTCGCAGAAGCAGTTCTCGGAGGTTTATTCTCATATATTTTGTCCGCGATTTCTGCCAATCGCTGTAGGTCCAAATCGTCCGGGAGTGACAGTAATATTTGTGTCGTTTGTGGGCTCAGTTTATCCTTCCATAGTTTACGGAGGACTGTGTCAGACATGGTATTGTCACCTAGTAAAACGTTCATCTTTCTAAGCAATTGGGAAGGTTTATAGTGTCCCAAATGAAGGTTATTAAACAAATCGTGCAACCGACATTCCTCTGATTCGCCCGTGCTGTATAGTATAGCATCTTTCAAAGTTTCATACGGTTTCTCCGCCGGCACTTCACTGAGGAGGTCTGCTACCTCTAATGCTACATCTGAGGGAAGTTTCTCAACTACAAAAGCGTAACGGGCATGTTGGGACGTGACCTTTCTTGCATTAAAAATTGCGTTTAACTGCGCAAACCACACTTGAACGTTGGTGTGGTTGTACGTCGGTAGACTGATGGAAATTGCCGCTTCAATATGTTCACTGGTAGAATCTTCCTTTTATTACTCTTTAAATCAACACAACCCGCATAAAAATGTATCCTATTTCAAGGGCTTTAGATGTACAATTTGAATTAGTACAAAATATATTTCTTTTCTTACACAAAAGGAAGGAACGTTGACAAGCAAACTTCAATACATTTTTCTTTATTCCAGCTGTTTAATAATCTAAATATCGTAATGTATCCAAATAAATCTATTTGCTATATGTAGAAAGTCTCAATCCAACAAGGCCTATTCTTCAAACTTAGCGGATATTCGTCAAGCAAACAAAAGCTAATGGCCTTTTCCCTTTTAAAACCTTTTTTTCTTTTTTAAAAGCTCATTGTTATATTAAGCATTTGGTAGCGAGAGAAAGGAATAACGAGGATTAGATTTTAAACAACGTTTATTGTTGGTATGTCGTACAGAGATGTTGAAGGATGGGTGGAATGTTCATTTCAGTGGCCGGTCGTCAGGATGGCGGTCGGGTATAAGAGTAGCGCAGGGAGTTGATCTAATTGTGTGGGTTTGTTCAACAGGACACGGTGGTAACTGCAAAGGGAATACTTTGTAAACAAGTCGAATAGGCCGAAGTGATGGCGGTGGGTTGCATGTTTGTGGAGCAGGAGTCGTTCTTTGCAGAGTCGGAGTCGCTTCCTTGTGGAGTCGGAGTCGCTATCTTGTGGAGTGGGAGACACTTGATTGCAGAGTTGGTGTTGCTTGTGACTGATGTTTGACAAGGCCGAGATGTTATCAATGCGAAGCTGGATAGTCTAGAAGGTTAGTCAAGCCAGGTAGTGGTAACGGTCGTTCAGAAGTGCTGTCATGTTGTGTGGTGGCAGTGAAGTTCACGGTGGCGGCCACAGCAGCGCCCTGCGTGACGACCGGTGGCCCACAACTTCCTCTGGTCTTTTTCAGAAACCTACTTTTAAGCGGGTCTGGTAGTTTCCAGGGGCATTTCTTTTTTTCAGCGGGAACGATCGCGATTGGCCATTGCCAAAGTTTGCTTCGTAGACCGGATGTGATGCGTGGAGCCTAATGCGCAGGAAATGACTTTTGTTATTTCGTTCTCTGCCTTTGTGGCGTTCACATCCGGCCAACATGCAGAATGAATCAGAAAGAGATCTAATAAGAGTATAACATCATTAAAAACTCGGTAACAACCCCGATCAAGTAGAAGGCCACAACTGGGTAGAAAAGAAGATGGTGTTAAACAGTTTTCCAAGTTGGGGGTGAAATATTTAATAAAAGGGGTGGTTAGAATAAGAATGCCCCTGGTAGATTTTCTCCAATAAAGAATAATTGTCCAGGTCATCGCTATCTTATCAACATTTGCTTTTTCTAACTACATTGGTGTTGTGTATGATACACCTAATTTACATAAGCGGACTACCGACCATATAAATATATGGGTTGGTACCGGAAGACGGGGAAGATAGTAGAGATTAAGAAATTGAATCCAGAGACTCTGCCCGACTGCGATTTAGTCAACCCATTATGCAGGAACAGTCTTCCCAAGAATATACCAAACTAACTGTAAATATTGTGTACCTATTCTTTGTTTCAATACATTTTGTTAACGTACATTTTGTGTTGTATTATTCCATGCTTATTTAAGCTTCAACAATTGGTATACATTACAAATGAAACTATGCACAACAGATTATTAAAGGATGAAAACTCTTCACGGATTTTGGGATCTTTTTTTTAATATCCAAATCCATGAATTTGTTTTGTTCATGTTTTCGAAAAACACTATATAAAATTCACTATTTTTTATCCATAATGTTGAATGTGTTTTAAAATTATTAAACAAAAGAAATCTTAAGTTGATGTTAAACATTGCCACAAAACACTGTGAGTTTAAGATGAAATGATCTATTATGACATGTCTCTAATTTGTATTTAGATACATTGTATTTATTTAAAATTTTTCTAGTTGAATTTTTTACCTTGCATATGATCCATTATTGTACATAATTAGAAAAAATCGGCCTCGTCAGTCATGTATGGAAAGATACATGATCACCTAAGCGTGAGTCATGCATGGCACATAGCTGACTGACTGACCTTATGAAAATTAACATGTAGTAGAGTAGGGGCCCCCGTGTTGTGGGGACATGAAACCCTTGCACCAGCCCTGCCTGCAGCCCTAAAATGTCCCTATGTCAGCAGTCCACATGTTCCCTCTAACATTTCGTTCTCATACGATTTAGTAACCGCTGATGATATCAGGCAAATACATATTTACGCATTCAGCCTTTAATGAAAGAAATTTACAACTTTCAAAATAGCGGTAGCGATACAGACCAGAATTGACTGAAAAAAATGTTCAGATCCGTCATTTCAACTATAAGAAAATGTTTTCTAACTTTGAACTATCAGAATCTGTAACTGTAGCACTTGGTGTATTGAATCCAGCTTTGCCAGAGCAAAAGAAAAATTCTACTTTTACTCAAGATCGAGCTGATTGCCCTATGTAAATAGGTTTTGAAACGTTTCAATGATGTCACATCAACTACATAAGTGTTGTTTAAGGCTTATATTTTAAAATGCACGCTATGACCCATTATTGTACATAATTAAGTTACAATATAATTGGTATTTTAGATAAATACTACCTTATGAAAACTGATATGTAGTAATGACAAGCTTTCTTTCAGCTTCAGAGTACAATCTAATGAGTTTGAGTCTTACATTTGTGTCCTTATGCCAAACTACTATAATAAGGTTAGTAAATGGCATCTGTAGGCTACAATAGATTTACACGGATTCATACAGTCGGGTGGCTCTTCTGTACTTACAGCTTACAAAATAGGATTTTTTTAACTTTATATTATGGTTGTCAAAGATGTCAATACGAAGGCCTTTTTTAACACCACAAAAAATGGAAGGAAAATATTTGCTGTTGTCGGAGTAACCCCTCTTTAATTGTCCAAATTGTTTACTAGGGACGCTCTCCCTACACTATAAATACTGGGTGATTTCTTGCCTCATTCTCTTTTTCATTTCTTCATTTTCAACGAACACATCTACAATGTAAGCTCTCGCAGAAGGTTGTGACTTCCCATTTGTGGGAGACGCCATGAACATATACACACATACACGTACGTACGAACATTCACCAAAATACAAACTCTTTACATTCACACACAAACACAAATGTTAATATCTATGTCCATTGTAAATTTTATTGTTTAATACATATATTTGTTAATATATATATATATATATCGATCTTGTTGGTTTTCTTTACACTTATTTATGGTGAATTCAATCTCTGAGTCCGTCATGTTCTTGAAGTGGACCTTCTTCTAGCAGGAATAAACATACGTGTTCCTAATTTAACAACACGTAAACCCACGGCCCGCTACACCGTCTATACCCAAATCACCAGCTTCGACGACAGAGAAGCTTAAGGGTCCCCTCCAAATTCAGAACAGCGGAGGTCTGAAAAAAATTGAGAGCCCTACAAATTTTCAAATGTGCAACGCCTGCTGGCTTTAGTGTTCTGGGTAAATAGTAAATTTGTAGTATGGTAGAATAATACCATCAAAAACTGACATAGCCCAAGGACCTTTACGATGTGGCACCGGTGTCCTTGCCCCGACTATGCTTTTCTCAATTGTGCAACACTAGTAAATCAATTATTAGTTATTTTGAGGTTAAAGTCCAGAAGGACGAGAGTCATTCATATTGTTTCAAAGTGGCTAATCTTATTGCAAG